ATTTTGCAATTCCCACACTTTTAATATATGTGTATTTTTATTTATGTATGATATTTTATGGTTAAATAAATATTAATTTATGCACAATAATGACACATTGGATGCACAATATTATGTGTAGGTGTGCACCTTAAAAGAAAATGTCATATGGATACAAAATTATTTAAAAAATTGATGAATAGGTCATTTTTACGATAAATGAATTGCACAAAGTAATGTATAAATATGTGCTTTAAAAGTTAAAAAAAAAAAAAGAAACAATGAAAATGAAAAGTTCGAACTAAAAAAATTCAACATAATTGATTTAATTTGTCGGTTAAGACAAATAACTAAAACAACTGACATAGATTATATTAATTATTATAAAAAAGCATGATTAGTTTTTAATTTTTTTATTTAATATTTTATGCTATTTTTTTATTAAAAATTTCGTATTCATGTGAACAAAATATACCGTGCAATATAACGTTCATTAAAGTGCAATTTGTCCAACACTACGGTGCATGGTGTCGGTCTGTATTGTGCAGATTGAACCAACCAAACTTTTGTCCAAAATCAAATTGAAAAATGAACATAGTCAATCGGTTTATTCGGTTCGAATAACCGGATTATCCCAAATAATTAAAAAAATTAATTTGTTGTTTATATTAAAATTATATTTAATATGTTACTAATTTTATTTATTAGTTTTCATATTATTTTTTGTTGAGTATCATTGAGGTCGGTCGGTTTCGATCACTACTGTGCAATCTGATAATCGTGATAAAGTGCAATGTATTGTTTTGTAGAGTGCAATGTGTTGTTTTAAAAAGTGCAACGTGATAGTGTATAAGTCGAACTACTGTAATTTTGGTATGTTACCGTACTTGTGTTTTGTGCGGATAAATGACGTGATTGATGTTAAAGTATTATGTATATTCGTTTTTAAAAGTAACAGCAGATAATCGACCAAAACATAAAATTATAACACATGAATTTAATTCAAACATTTTTTATCGCTAAAGTGCACTCTGACGGTCGCTATTGTGCAATCCAATCAATACTACTGTGCAATCCAAGTGCATATTTAAAATTATATTTATATAATAAAAATATATTATTATTTATTGTGTAATAATTATATCTTATAATAATTATTATTACATTATTTATCTAAATAATATAATTGAAATAATTATTATGTATATTATATAAATTATGTGTGTATAAAAATATACAAAGAATAATAGTTTTTATAAAGTTTTTATTAATTACATATTTGACTTATGTACTAAATTGACATTTCATAAAAATAACAATACAATTCTCTATATTAGAGATTATGCCCAAGGACCAATTGCAATTTAATCAATCTTTTCGAATTTACAATCAAGTCCCTGGTGAATATCAAATTCTCAAAAAAAATTCACCACAACCTGCATCTCTGTCTTGTCCACAGTCCGGTCATCTCCGGCGGTCGCTCTGCTCGCCGACGACGCATCCCGTTGGCAGCAGCAAACCTAAAATCCGGCCGTCATCAGCCTCGATTTTCAACGGAATCTGGCCGAACTCGCCGCCCATATTCAGAAATTCACGTTGGACTTACATCGATTGACGGCGACAAACGGCGGAGCGTAGATGTGGTGGACCTTGTTTTTCGATCTCGGCCAGAGGCTGATCTAGGGTTCAGATGCGATGTCGATGAAGACGTTGTAGACGATGAACGTCAATTTCGATGTCGTCCGATGACGGTGAACCAGGTGAGCGGAGTCGCGGGCCTCCTCTTGACAGGAATTCCGGCGATGGCTTGGTAATTTCAGACGACGGAGTGGAGCGCGGTGGAGGCTGGATTCGGTAGTCTTCTCCTACCGGTTGCAGAGGCGCGAAAATCGTTGAGATTGCGGCGGTGGAGGCGGTACTGGCCGGCGATGGGGCAGCGGGTGGTGACCGACGGGCTGAGTTGTGACGGGATTGTGTGTGTGTGTGTGTGTGTGCGTGTGTGAGAGAGAGGACGAGTGGGGTGGGGGTGAGGTGTTGTCAGATGTGATGTGGCGTGGGTTACGATGAGGTGGGGCATTGTTGGGTGTATTGAATGTCCAATTTACCCTTAATCAGTTTAAATGTTTGGCTTTTTTTTTCTGTCGTTGGATTATCGGATCGGACGCCTGTGATTTATTCTTATTTCTTTCACTGGGCACCATTCTCACCGGAGCGTGACCCTATATATATGTATATATATATATATATTTCGTCAATTCGTATTGAATTTATTTTGAGATGCTGAGAGCATTAACTTCATCCAGCGTTGTTTCTTTGGGTTAAGACCACGGTTAATTTTTATTTTTATTTTTTCTCAAGTCTCGATCAACTGAGACTCAATCCTATTCGTATTTTTCTCTCTCGCCTGCTTCGTGATTTGTTGGTGATTGTTTGATTGTCTGATCTCTGAGACCTCATTGTTTTTTCTTCCTCAGCTGATCGTGGCGGACGTTGTGACGGACCGGCTGATGCCGGCCGCGGTGGTCCAGCTCTTGTCAACGATGCCTTCGCTAAAGGGGCTGCACTTAGTACCTCTGGCTCCATACATGGCGGGCGACGAACTCCGATCAGATGGCTATTTTTGGGTTGACTGATGCCCAATGGGAGTCTATTGTACACCTCGTCACTTCTGCCCGCAAAAATGCTCCTTTATCCGGTAAGCGTAGTCCTTATGAGTGAATGTATGATAACGGTGCTTTACATCATATGACGGGCTACTTGGAATTTTTTTTCTGATATTTGGGATATACCGCCTCGGTTTGTACAATTACCTAATGGCATGCTCACCACTGCGTGTAAAGCTGGAACTGTTCATCTCGGTTCTCGTATTATGTTATATGAAGTTTTGTTCGTTGATAGTCTTCAGTGCAGCTTGATATCTTTGTGTCGGTTGTTGGAACAATATGGTTGTGTTGCTACCGTCACTAGTAAATATTGTGCTATTTAGGACCTCACTTCGAGGACGTTGATTGGAGCGGGTGAGCAGTTGGGGGGACTTTATTTTTTTCGAGGGCCAATCACTGCGAACGCTTCTCGGGTGTCTTCGGTTATGCAGCACTTATGGCACCAACGGATGGGTCATCCCTCGTCTATTGTTCTTGGTCAATTGCCTTTTGTTGAGTCTCGCTCCTTGGTCTCGTGTAAAACTTGTGATGTTTGTTGTCGGGCGAAGCAATCTCGAGCTAGCTTTCCTTTTAGTCGTAGTGTGAGCAGTTCCATTTTCAGTCTGATTCATTGTGATATGTGGGGACCGTATAGAGTTCCTTCCTTTAGTAATGCTCGATATTTTTTTTACTATTATTGCCGACTATTCTCGTGGTACTTGGATTTTCTTACTTGATGACAAATCTTCGATATCTTCTACTTTACTCCAATTTTTCGCTTTTGTAAAAATGCAATTTAGTGTGTTGGTTAAAACTCTTCGCAGTGACAACGGGACTGAATTTACTTGTATGCGTGATTATTTCCGTCAACAGGGGATTGTTCATGAAACTTCTTATGTCGGAACTCCTCAACAAAATGGACGTGCTGAGCGCAAACATCAGCACATTCTTAATGTTGCTCGAGCATTACGCTCTTAGGCCCATTTACCGATTGAGTTCTGGGGACATTGTGTACTTGCTGCTGGCTATTTGATTAATCGAACGCCTACTCCTATTTTATCCGGCAAGACCCCCTATGAACTTTTGTATGGAGAACCTCCACACTATGCGCATTTACGTGTTTTTGGTTGTCTGTGTTACGTGCACAATCAGCACAGGGACAGTGACAAATTTGCAAGTCGGAGTCGTCGATGTGTTTTTGTTGACTATCCATCTGGTTAGAAGCGGTGGTGTGTTTATCATTTGGACAGTCGCACTTTTCTGGTCTCACGTGATGTGATATTCTATGGATTAGAGTTCACTTATTTGACGACTCCTTCTCTTGATACTGCCTCCGTGCCTGTGGTTCCATGGCCTACTGTTTCTGACGATGATGATGTTGTGGTGGTTCCCACTACAACACGTACTGCTACCACAGGGGGTTCTGAGGTCATTGCCGATAGGGCGGTAATCCTCCCCAAGAGGAAGTGCTTGGTCGTGGTCATCGTCTCAAGAGAACCTCTTCCCGTTTGCCGACTTTGTCTCTCACGCTATTTGTTCCTCATTCTCCCACTCTGCCTCCTCAATCGCATCATCATCTGGTACTCCTTACCCTATCGCACACTATGTTTCTTGTGATTCCTTTTCTCCTGCACATCAGTCATTTCTAGCAGCCATTTCTTCTAATGCTGAGCCTTAGACATTTCCTGAGGCTGTTCGAGATAGCCACTGGTGTTCGGCTATGCAACTGAAGATTCGAGCATTGGAATCAAACTGTACGTGGGATATTGTTTCTCTTCCTACTGGGAAACACGCAATTGGTTGCAAATGGATTTATAAAATTAAATATAACTCTAATGGTTCAGTTGAGCGCTACAAGGCGCGTTTGGTTGTCTTGGCAACCGGCAGGTGGAGGGCATTGACTATCAGGAGACATTTGAACCTGTCGCCAAGATGGTTACTGTACGGACTTTTCTTGCTATTGC